TATTGAACTGCCCAAAGGAAGTTTAGAAAGTTTGTGAAGTTGGAGAAGGAAGTCTTGGGCTTTTGTAAACCGATTTTCCCTGGATTTACTTTTAGAGTATGACAAAGGAAGATGAGCTTTTTGCTCATCTTGACCTTTAGTGTTGGAGGAACTACAAGTGCCAAGATGCCCCCTGTAGCTTCTCCATGGTTGGAGTGTAGCAGACTCCCCAGCCTTGATCATAGTAAATATCGCTTTTTCCTTCTAGCAGAGCAGAGGTTAATCGAGCAGTTGTTTTTAGCAGTTAGGAGGAATTTCAGACTGGTTCTAGTAACAACAGACTTGCTACAAGTCTTGTGTAAAGTGTAAACAGCACAGAAACGGTGTACACAATTCAAAAAGACACAAGGTATGTCCCGCTAGCTGAAAGGGCTGTTGTTTTATAGGTGGTTTACGCCCTGTGTAGGGTGGAGAAGGATTTTCTCTAATAGCTGAGCTAGGATTTGTTAGGCAGGCGGCAAACATGCCTCTCTGTAACAGGCAAATCATTACAGAGGCAAGTTTCCTCCATCTACTTTCATTACTGCTTTCAAGCATGTTAATTTCCGTCAGTGCAAGAAGAGTCTTAAGGTGCCCATACACTGCACGATTATCGTACGATAATCGTATGCGATCGGTTTTTCGTACGATAATCGAGCAGTGTGAACGGAGACGTGCGACCGTTTCTACTGTACGGTCGCACGTCTTCTGTCGAACCAGCATGTTCGAAAACCAGCCGGGAATCGTACGATTCTCGGCTGGTTAGAACGGTGCTCGGAAGACAAATGCCGAGCGGGCCGGTGTGCGCACGCGCACACTGCCCGTTCAGCATTGCGGTCATCGGAAGCCCGCCCCTTAGGGGGGCGGGCTTGCGATGATCGAGAGTGCGATCTGCCTGTCCAAGATAGGCAGATCGTACGTTTTTTTTTTAATCCCTGTACAACCATCGCAAGACTAAAGTCTTGCGATGGTTGTAGAGTGTATGGCCACCTTTAAAGGGAACATGTCATAACTTTGCTTACGTGGTTCAGCCAAGGATTCTATTCAGCATTGGAAGGTATCATTGCCATACTCCAAGCACTGCTAGGTTTGGGCAGGCATGTTGCTGCATGTAATGCTGTCTACAGTGTACTACCTCTCTCTTCCATCAATGGCAGCCTCCAGTACTGAATGGGATCCATACTTGAGTCAGGGAAGGTGCTCACAGGTCGCCTTTGTAGTTTCATACAAAGACTGTTCAAAGGGCAGGTGATGGTAGAGGATTGGCTTCTATATTGGCAATGTTCATGAGCTCTGCAGCAACTGACAATCTCTTGCTTACTTAGGTAATTATGATATATAGGAATGTGAGGCGATTGATTTTCCAAAGCATTAAATGTCTATAACATAGATCTGAGATTTTCCATCACCCTGAAAATCATCCATTTGAGTACAATAAAGGTGGACAAGTGAATTCTTGAAGGTGAAGGCTGAATTTGTGGCACCAGGAAAATTTGCATTTTGAGCCTGTTTCCTGCCCACTGCTACCTTGTGCCAAGGTTGTTGCCCCCCTGGGGGTCTCCAAGGCACCTGTGGCCCTTGCCTTTAGTCAGCACCCATCTTACACATTTGGCCCCTTTTTTATTCTGGCCTTTTTCTGGCCTCTCATCAGTAGAGAAGTGATAGAAACCATCCTTGCCTTCCTTCCCTTTTTGTCTGTTCACACAATCTGCAAGCTTTCAAAAACCAGATGCGTTTTTCTTTTTTCTAGTTGTCTGATTCTAGATAGTTAACTGCTGTTTCACAATGACTGACCGACCTTATGCACACAGTCTGAGATCCAGGCAGAACCTACCTTTGAGGCAGACTAAACGGCTTGATTGTCAAATGATAAAAGAATATACACTACTTTTAGGAAGTTTTGGGCAGAAATAATTTCATACTACCTATTTGTGAAATATGGACTATGATTTCATTTTATCTTTTAGTCTTATTTAGCTTGGTCTTACCAAATGCAAACAATTTTGGGTTAAATACTACACATTACAAACACAAACATAACTGGCTGCAAAAAATGCTTTTGTGGATGGAAAGAACCCATGGCTCCCAAATTCTGAATGCTTAAGTCACTTTTACCAAGGAAAAAGGGAAATACACACTGTCTATTTCATTAATTTGTTCATTTAACATGACTGCCCTACTTTTTAATTAGATCCACGTTGTTCTGTAACTTGTTTTTTTAAACTTTTCATCAAAGATGTCTTTTACTGATTCTGAAAGTTGTCAGGCAGCAAGTAAGGTTTTTATGGCTGTATTTTTCCTTGCTCAGGTTCTGTCTTTGATGTCCCACTTGCCCAGAAGGCAGACATAGACGGCAGTGTGTTCACATAGCAGGGGGTCATTACATCTCCCATCTCCCAGTGGCAGGTATTAAGTGACAGGGGAGGTGGACGTGGATGCTTGCCCTGTGCTGAACAATACGCCGGAGAGGTGTGTTTCACAGTTCACAATGACCAGCTCTGATTCCTCTCCTTTGTTGGTGGTGAAGAATGGGGCTCGCTGTGCAGCTGTTGCATTTTCTCAGGAGTAGCCTAGAGGGAGATGGAGGGGGTGGCTGCTCGTGCCCTGCCCCCACCCCCTTGTGATGGGCATTTCAGGACAGATTGTCAAGTCACCCCAGAGATAACCCCTATCTTCTAAAAGTAGCCACAGACATTTAGCAGACAATCTGGCTGCCATGTGCTTTTTCTTATTTTAATATTTGTTACATTAGCATGCATGCTTGTGTAGCCCAATTATGCATGTGTGAAGAATTGAGCGGACTCCACCCTATCTCAAGGGCAAATGTGCCTATAGACACAAGAATAGGTGGCCGGTTATGGTCAGATCATTAAGCACATACAAGTCTGTAGGTATCTCTAAACAGGCCACACACAGACTTTCATCTGTCAGATCAAATGCATATTCCAGTGGTTGTGTAGTGTGTGAGCGTCTACATAACTGCATGCAGATTGCCTAGTTAGTCGCTTACACTGCACAGGTATAGTTGATCTGACAGATGAAAGCGCTAACAAATTTCAACCCACTTGAACTCCAGCTTCTTGAGAGCAATGTGCTTGATTCCTTAATTGTTTATTGTAGTCTGTTCTCTATAGGATGTCCATACATAGGACAATGTTGCTTAGTGCCATCACATCACTAACAGAAGTCAACCATGAGCAGTGTCGCAATGTTATGATGAACAAACCCCGGAGCCGGGTTGCCAATGTCCCTTACAAATTACAGCTGGTGCCTAACTTTTTGAGGTTTTCTTTAGGTGATATGATTGGAGCTGGCTCTTGAATCCCATAATAATTTGTCTTCCCCTGGCCCTATCGAGTTTTGCCTCCTATCAATGAGTGAGTCTGGTGAAGAGCTACTCGTGGTTATCGGGTATATCACGAGATTGCCAGGTGTCTGTGGTCATTAGCTTATCTAAGGGGAGACCATTTGAAGTAGTTATTGGTTTACAGTTTACTAGCAAAGGTTTTATGTTCCTACAAGGTATGTCTGTCCATATCCCTCGGCATGTTGCCGATATACAGGTTTAATGTGCCCACATTTTGAAGACCAGACGGGTCACTAATATTTGAGCAGCTTCATTGTTGATTCAAAAACAAAAAATGTAGGTGGGTTTTGTTCAGTGTTCAAGCAGACTTTTCGATGACAAGCCAGCATCTGGTCAGATTTGTGTGTATAACCAACACTCACCTGCAGCAGTATTATACGAATAAAAAATGAAGAATTGTATTGTTGTGGTCAAGATGTTGGAAGGTTCTGACATCTGTAATTGTGGATAAAAAAAAATGTGACTGGTTTTGTTGCTGGTTCTTTCATTGTTTTCAGACCTGAGACGGTAAAGAAGACTTCAACAGCTAACATCTGTTTGGAAATTAATGGCATGGAAAATCAGGGCACTTGACAGGAAAAGCCCCAAAACATGGCTGCTTGGTGGTGAATGTTGTTCACTTCCTCTTCTTTTTATCTTTGTTGTTGTGTTTTGCCATTCCAGGAAGTAACATACACTTGGCAGGTTAGTGAGAAGTTTCAGGGTGATAAAAGTTCACTTCATTTCATTAGTCCATGTACACCTGAGGTTTTACAAGCCTGAAACTTAATGGGGGGTTTGGCAGAGTTGTGTTCACACCTTGGGCTGCTGCCTAGAGTGGACAACCTTAGATCTTCAGTTGTAGCAAACTGAATGTCAACAAATACTGTATATACTGTATGTGTCAACAAATACTGTACACATTAAGACTCCATTTGCACTTGAGCATAGCTAGGTGTTTTAGATTTTTTTTTTTTTGTAGTAGGGGAGCAGCATCGAGTGTTTTCGGTCACGTAGACTTTTAAATGATGGCTCCTGAAAAACACTTGAAAAAAAGGTTTTTCAAGTGTTTTTCAGGTGCTCCTAGTCTATAGTGCCAAAATGCTTGATTGTTCTCCTAAAGAAGCTCATGTACCTTTTTGTGCTACAGGCGTCGGGCTACAAGCGACAGGATGCTTAGGTGTAAACGGGCCATTGAAATAATGGGATTCCTCTTGTTGAGCGCTGCAGTGCTTAGGCAATCAAGCTACAAGACACCTAGATGTAAATGGGGCCTAAATGTAGACAGGATGACCAAACTGTTATTGTACCATTGTTTAAAAAAATTGCAGGTATGATTTTTCATTTTTATTGCCACGGTATTCTGTTCCTGAGCCGTAGTCTCCATGTTTGACTGATGATGGTCAAACCCGTGACAGTGAAATTAAAAAAATAAATAAAACAAATTATCAAAAGAACCGATTTTATAACAAGTTACTTAGATACATTTGTAGGCCAAAGTCAGTTATAGATATGACAGCTAGCAAGAACCTTAAAAATTGCAGCGTATTAGAGAACACAAGACCACAAGCTGATGAACGCTGAAATGTTAACATGACAAATGTGGATCTAATTCGGATTTCTCTCTCTCTTTCAGGTTTAAGGTGTACGCAGCCTGGCGAGACTTGCTTTAATAATGGAAAGTGTGATTCCAGCGGAACAAATTGCAGGTCAGTTGATGTTGTTTTTTTGTTTTTGTCATGTGACTCTCAGGTGGATTTGGTGAAGGAACGTGCAGGAGAAACACTAGTACAATGCCTTCCGGCACATTTGTCACTTCTTTTCTCTCTGTGGAAACTATCGGCTTGATATCAACTTTCTTAACGTATGTAAGGTTGACTTTTTTTGGTTGACCCAATTGATGCCTGATTTGGAAGACATATGGTGGCTGTGTGTATCTGACTGGTCAACACCTTATAAAGTAAACTTTACTCTTAAGACATTACTTTTCAAGTTGAAGTTTGTCGACCTTCACCATGTCTGTGGCAAAGTAGTCCTCAGAACATAGAACGTTGGGACCTTTGGTCTTAGGACTAGTTTATTCTGGGGTTCTTGGATCAGTCACAGTCATTGGCTGTGAAACAGTCAATCACACCAGAACAACCCTCCAAATTATATAAAAATAGTGTGAAAAATCTCTGCAGTCAATTTTTGTTACATCGAAAACTCCTTTTACTTCACAAAGTCGGGAGGTGGTAGTTTCAAAATCTGTCCGTGTATGGCTAGACTTTGTAGTTTGCATATTTTGTAAAACATCTGAACAGTATCCTATCCGGTGGGGGGAGGAGGGCTCTCTTGAAGTTTCCTGTAGTTTCGGCAGCTTGCCTCCCTGCCTGCCCTATTACACAATGGTAAGTTATTCAGAGTTGCGAGGGGCAAGTCTTACAGAGCTCGGCACCTCTTTTGTGTGCACTTAATGAATTCAGGCAGCTTGTTGTGTGTGTGTGTGTGTTTTTTTTTTTTTTTTAATAACACTTCTGCTGCAGGGACGCTTGGCGCTGTAAATCTCGCCTTCTTTCATTGAAAGAGCGACAGCTGGGCTTTGGTGAAAAAATTTGGCCTCTATTGTTTGGCCTCTATGGCAAGAGCGATTAACGCTTTGTGACTAATCATGGGGGATATCCCAGAATGCAATGCTACCAACATTTATCACCATGTTATAGGTTTTCTTTAAATTGCTGGGAAAGTGGGGGTTAAAAAATATCCAGTTTGTAGAGAAGTTTTGCAAGAATTTCTCTTTTGGCGTTTGGGCTGTCTTGTCTTTTAAAAAATATATTTTTTAAAAGACTCTTGCAGCTCATCATATATGGCAGGAAAGTACCACTGCGTTCACCAACTACAGTATAATCATAACATAAGTTTATTTTTTTAAAAGGCACACCCGGGAGCAAAAAGAGCAGCAAAAAGCTATTTGTTTTAGGTTTTCCTAGTTCTATATTATTCCAGGGGCAAATTTGACTGCGCCTTTCCCAAGCTTGGAATGGTATTAAAACTAATACCAACTTCAACACAGACGTCTAGCGGCTCCTCTGCTGACTCGATTGGCTGCATTTCGCGCACTATGGCCAACCTACAAAATGGCTGCTGTGTCCAGAGGAGAGCGCTAACTGCAGAACTTTGGGAACTTGCTAAAGTTTTATTAATTGGCTGGCTGAAAATACACAGTAAAATAAGCAGCAGGAGATTGGGACAGCTGTACCCAAATGAGCCAATTTCAGCCCATCTTGAGGCTTTTTTTTTTGTGTGTGTACTTTTGAGTGTAATTTGTCGCTAGGAGCCGGATAAGCCAGGCAGCAGTGGCAAGCTGCACCAAATAAAACAAACCCGCCAAGACAAACTGAGCATGTGCCCCCGTAATCTGCAGGCAGATGGTTCCTAGGTCCCCAGAGGCCTGTGAATGACACAACTGTTCCGATTCATGTTTTCCTAGGAGTCCTCGACATGGTACAGCACGCTGTAATGCTAACTAGCCAAGCAATTTTTCTTCCAATTACTTTTTTTTTTTCTTCCCAGGGGGCTATTGGGGAATTTTTTTTTTAAAGTGTAATTATCACCCTATGTTCCTGCATATTACCGCCATTCCCCCTGGAAGCCGTCTCTTTAACGTGAGACCGGTAACATTAATTGCACCAATTAAACAAGCGTATCATTTGTTAATGTTGAGTAGATGATGATGGGGATCATGAGGAGAAGGTTCGCAGCAGAGGATAAAAGAATATTTCTGGTGTCCTGAGTTCTAGGGACAGAAGGTCTCCCTCCCTCACTCGTAGTTTTGGCGTCTCTGTCATCGCAGCGCCAGGCTCTGATAAGCGGCAGAGCTGATAGCGTGGCATCTGAGCTGGGCTAGATAAAGCGCACCACGCTGGCTGGTAGCCATGGCTCCGGGTCACCTGTTGCTTTCTGGTTTGGCCACAAAGGTTCCATTATTTCCACAGCAAATCCAATTAGAAAGTCAAGTGAAATAAATACTTGGGAACAGAGATTCCTGCTTGGCCATCACTGCAGAGGCTGCTGAGACGCAACTGAAAGAGAGAATGGATTTTAATACAACGGGAAATCGTTCCTGGCAGCCCCAAGAAATATCCACTATCTAATACTAGCCATACTCCTTTAGAAAATTTATAGGCACCCAACCATGCTAAACAGCTATTGCATTTAGACAGCAGCGACAGCTGCGGCTGTTTGAATACTCTAGCGGTGATTGCATCTTATTGAATGCTGTCACTGTTCTACCGACAATTTTCATCCAGCTCAGTCGATCCCGCCTTTGGTCGACCCAGGTGGTGGTAACGGGGCCACCTACTGCTCCAACTTTAGCTGATCCAACAGATATTGGCCAAAAGTCAAGCCATGAATTGCTACCTCAACCCTCTCCTCCTGAAATACTTTGTACTGCTAGACGAATTTGCTTTTTAGCTCCCTTAAATACAGATGGAGGACTCTTTCAACTATTATACTCTCCTCTCCTGAAATACTCTGTGCTGCCTCTCCAGTGCATTTCTAAATGGTGACCATACAGAGGACAACTTAGCTTTGTCCATCTGCCTTGTCATTTGTAGATGCAGCAGATGTTCAGACAAACCAATCCTCCCCACCTTCTTTGTTTGACTGCTGCTGTCAACAAGGGTGGTATAATAGCCTAATAGACCCCCTCCCCCCATGCCTTTAACACATTGTGTTGACTCTTCATATGAGTCTAATGGAAATGTTTGGCTGTTGTCTGTTCATTCAGCCTTTGTAATCTACCTGCTGTAACTGTGTCCTTCCCCCAGAAAAAGGTTCATGATATACTGTCCTTCCCATGATTTATTAATGGTTTATTTACACACCTCTTAGTTAATATACAGGAATTTATTGTATAAAGGCAACAGAAAGCTTATCATCCATTTTAGGCTTAAAGTAGTTTTAAAGGCTGAGTGTTTTTTTGCATCCTCTGCATCAAGGCAAAAAACACCCAGTGCTTGTCAACCACCCCCCACACTTGCCTGCAGCCACTCGTCTCCTCCGTCGCAACCGGGAAAATCCACGGGTTTCCCTGAACTTCCTGGTTGTGGGAGAGGGTAGTGAGAGCAGAGGAGCCGTAGGCTCCTTGTGCTGTCAGTCAAGTTATGACTGCCAGGGGAGGGGCGTTGCCAGCGCACACTGTGTCTATGGACACACACAACTAGGTGCTGCCACGGCCCTGACCGTGCACATATGGGTGCCTCCACAGCGGTTGGCTAGCTGATGGAGGTACCCGTACAGGTAGGGGGAGAGGGGGCGGGGTTGTGGTCTGGTTACCACTAGGAAACGAGGAAATAAAAAAAATACAGGATAAAATTACTTTTTTTTTTTTTTTTTTAGCAAGTCTGGCCACTATAAAAAAGTAAAAAGACAATAACACCATGGAGGTTGACCATTGGCATTCAGCAGTGACCCTCAAAGTTGTTACAGGATAGGAGGTTGTCTTTTGGCAGAAATGTGTCTTTCCCCCAGGATCACATCTTTTATATCACTTGTATTGGTTAGTTCTCAAAATTGCAGTGACAACTGGCACTTCCTTTTCTCTATTTTTCTTCTTACCTTCTGCCTAGTTGTTTGCACCCAAGAACTTTTTTTTTTTTTTAGATGGAGCTGGATTTAGGAGAAGTCTGCAGAGCTGTTTGTGTTGCCTTCTCTGAGGCTCTTCATAATGTTACTAAGGGGCGTATTGGATGTGGTGGTATGTTATATGCAGTGTCCAAGAGCAAACATCGTCTGATTACACAACATATCTGGTTGTTGTGTGTTATTGCACTCAAGGTCGAGAGCACACTCTCTACCTTGGATTCACAAGGGGGAGCTTGAACTAGAGAATTGTGGTGAGGTTAGGAACAATTGAGAGTTTAGGGATGCCGGCAGCCATAACATCATAGCGAGCAGGGCAGCCAGCTGGAGAAGAAGAATGCTAGAATGACCATTAGAGACACTTATTGGACAGGCCGTGTCATTTATTTTAGCATTTGGCTTTAAATATAGATCTAGATTGTATTACAATAAAAACCTGCTATGATGGAAGCAAATCTTTGTCTGGGACAGCAGTTAATAGGACATGCTAATAGTTCCTCAGCAGCTGGGGGTAAAAAGGTTGCAGAATATGTTGGCACTTGTAGTTCTTGTATGTTTTCAAGGTAGAGGCTATGCTCAGATGAAGTTCAACATTTCTTAGCGTGTCATTTCTGGCATTTAGTGGCGCGTTACCCTCCTAGGGCAGCCCATCCCCCGTTAGTGCTCTGTTGTCTGCAGGAATTTTAACGGTCAAAGAGAGGTGGGATTTTTCACAGGCCAACGGTCGTTAATGGTTTGTTGAGTGGCTCAAGCAAGCCAGGCACCCCCCGGGGCACTACAGACTGTAGAGGAAGTAGCTAATGTTTCAATGCAAGCTACTTATTAATAGGGTCTCATGCATTTAAAGTGGCTTGTCGGGTGGTTAATGGCGCACTTCAATTGCACGGTTTGTGTTCGACAGGTGTTGGGACGTGTGCATTAAAACTATGCAAGTGTTTTGATATGGCCCTTTGGAGGTCAAGCAGCACAAGTGTTATCAGGTCACCGACTCACCTTTTAAGGGAAACCTGTTCTGAGAGTAAAATGGGGCTGACATTATGGAGCTCTTTTTCCAAAAATGCCTGTTCGCCGGCTGGATTCCACC